TTTATGGTGTGGCCTGTGTCCTGGGCGTGCTGGGGAATGGAATGGTTATCTGGGTGACGGGCTTCGGGATGAAGAGAACTGTTAACACTGTTTGGTTTCTTAACCTGGCCGTGGCTGACTTCCTCTTCACAGCCTTCCTACCGCTGGGCATCACATACCAGGCTTTACATTTCAACTGGATTTTTGGGAGGTTCATGTGCAAGCTGAACAGCACAGTGAACTTCCTGAACTTGTACGCCAGCGTCTACACCCTTGTGGTGATCAGTGTGGACAGGTTTGTGTCTGTAGTGTGGCCCATCTGGGCTCAGGTCCATCGGACGGTGAGGAAGGCCTCCTATGTGAGTCTGTGTGTTTGGGCATTGGCTTTATGCCTCAGCCTCCCGGCTTTTGTCTTTAGAGACACTGAAGTCTTCAATAACAACAGCGTCTGTTACAATAATTATGCGCTCTCTAAAAATTACACTATTCCATCTGTGGTACAGTTAGCCCTTTTTCGCCATCGAAATATGACCATCACCCGATTTCTCATGGGCTTCCCCGTCCCTTTTGGTGTAATTGTTTCCTGTTACAGCATCATAATCCACCGCCTCAGGAGAAACCCTGTACTTGCCAAACGATCAAGCCGCCCTTTTAAATTAATTGCCACCATCATCATCACATTTTTCCTGTGCTGGGCTCCCTTTCACATCATGAGTATAATTGAGTTGAAGAAATTTGATCCAAGCTACAAAAGCGAAACATTGAAGCATGTCATCGCCATCGGAATCCCAATCACCACGAGCCTGGCCTTTCTTAACAGCTGCCTGAACCCATTTTTGTACGTATTTATTGGCCACGACTTTAGGGATAAAGTCTGCACATCCATCCTGAAGGTGTTTGAGACTGTATTCCAGGAAGACGAAACCAACACTTATACAAAGTCTGTCACTTCCAGTGAAAGCAAGAGGTCCAACCACAGCAGTGCTGTGTAGAAGCAGTACGGAATTGTCTAGAGCAGTGTTCCCCACCCTTTTTTGAGCCACGGACCAGTTATATGTCAGACAATATTTTCACAGACCGGCCTTTAAAGTGTGGGGGGTAAATATGATCAAATAAAATGATCCGACTGGCATAAAATCAAATAAGAACAGCATGAAAATAAAACTGACCATTATGCTGAATTAGTGGGAGCCCTGAGCTTGTTTCTCCAAAACAAGCCGGTCCCATCTAGGCGTAACCGGATACAATGACACGAAGTGTGGTCCTGATGTCCAGTCTGCTCCGTAGCTTTGTTTTGGTCGCTCTAACCGCAGGAAATAGGATGTGTGTTAGGGTTATATATAGGATAAGTCTTGATCTGAATTAACCTGTGTCAAGAGGCACAGATGCACCAACTGATGTAATTGGGAGAGAATACCCCAATTTTTTATATTTTTCTAAATAAAACATCACTCAGACTCTCATCGTCGATAAATTATATATATTTTTTTATTTCTGTGCAGCCCAGTACCAAATGACTCACGGACCGGTACCGGTCCGCGGCCCGGTGGTTGGGGACCACTGGTCTAGAGGAAAGGAAAAGAAAAAGTAGGGATTATTTTATGCTTTGCATGATGTTTTCAGATTTGTTGAACACAACAGAGGATATATATATATATATATATATTATATATATTTTATATATATAATATATTAAAAAAAATATATATATTAGGGCTAAAACAATCGTATTAATTGTGATTAATCGATTATAGAAATATCCATCAACTAATTTAGTAATCAATTAATTGTTAACTTGAGACTCTAAAACAAGAATGTAAAAGAATATGTATATATACATATATATATATATATATATATATATATATATATATATATATATATATATATATATATATATATATATATATATATATATATATATATATATACATGTATATATACACATATATATATATATATATATATATATATATATATATATATATATATATATATATATATATATATATATATATATATATATGTGTGTGTGTGTGTGTGTGTGTGTGTGTGTGTGTATATATATAAATTATTTCCATCCAGAACTCCTCAAGAGGAAAAGTTGACCTGTTTTAATTTCCGAAAATTATAAAAATATTCAACGGATTAATTGATTTGGAAAATATATTATATTATATATATTATATTATATATATTATATTATATATATTATATTATATATATTATATTATAGATTAGATGGATAGATAGATAGATAGATAGATAGATAGATAGATAGATAGATAGATAGATAGATAGATAGATAGATAGATAGATAGATAGATAGATAGATAGATAGATAGATAGATAGATAGATAGATAGATAGATAGATAGATAGATAGATAGATAGATAGATAGATAGATAGATAGATAGATAGATAGATATTAGTTGTACATTTACACATTTGTTGTTTTTCAATTCCTGTATTTTCAGTCTGTTTTCTTGTGGTAAATTACACTGTAATATTGTTGTTTCTGTCATTGTGTAATAGTTTTACGGAGTAGCTATGGATGCACCAATGAAAAAACAAATGAGGTATTTAAGAGTAAACTCCTGAACCAAAGTACTTAGAAAATCACTTTGCAAATCCCTGTTTCCTGATTTTACGTTTGGCTGTGATAATCAAAACTGATCGATGTGATGTGTGCAAATTACTATTCCAGGAATGACTAAATGGATTAAGCAACACTTTTTGCTCCTTTCTGTAAGTTTGACGTAAGCAGCTGCATTATGCCATTTTCAGTTAACATGCCTTTTAATGTTGCCTGTACCTGTATCACTGCCATGGTTTTATTTGTTTATTCATTGTGTTTCAGTTTTCGACATCACTTTAATTGTATTTTGTTAAATGCTGATAGTCTCTCATTATATTTTAGAGGAATTTTGTACAGTGTTTGAGACTCAGTACACTGCTGTTACCAAACCACACCAACATGAGTTGGGTAATGCCAAAAACAGTTGCTGAAGAATATTGCAGTGATATTTTTATATATTGTACAGAATAGAGAAATACAAAATGCTGTATAACCCAAAGTAAAAGGAAATAAAACATTGCTTGCCAAACGCTTTTCTACAAACAGATATCTGTTTCAAAATCCCATTTCTCCCCTTCACTTGTGTAATACAAAAGACAAGTTGTGAAACATGTACAAACAATGTCATATATGTATCCTAACCCTTACTTTTATGTCCGAGCTATTGTGCATGTACTCGCAAAGTGCATAGATAGGTCACCTCAGATTTCTTTAGCTCTGACATGCATTCAGATATACTAAATACATTGTCCTGCAAAGTCTACCAATAAAGGTTTATTGTTTTACGGAACAATAAAACCTGTTAGATAAGTTATCACATATCAGTATATGCGTAGTATATGCAGAGAAGGAAGGAAGGAAGGAAGGAAGGAAGGAAGGAAGGAAGGAAGGAAGGAAGGAAGGAAGGAAGGAAGGAAGGAAGGAAGGAAGGAAGGAAGGAAGGAAGGAAGGAAGGAAGGAAGGAAGGAAGGAAAAGTTATGCTTATTAAAGTGAAAGCAGAACTTTGTGAAATGTTTGTTGAAGTATGCTTTGAAACATGTATCTCAGTATCAAACTATTGCGTAGAGTGCATGGCTGCTAAGTGGCACACTTGGTAGCACTGCTGCCTTGCAGCAAGAAGGTTCCGGGTTCCTGAGCATGCGTGGGTTCTCTCCAGGTACTCCGGTTTCCGCCCACAGTCCAAAAACAGGACTGTTGAGTCAATTGGTTTCTCTAAACTCTCCTTAGGTGTGATTGTGTTTGTACTGTTTGTTTCTGTGTTGCCCTGTGATGGACTGGTGACCCTTTCAGATTATGCACATGTAATATACATGAATCAATGACATTTTTATGGTAAATGCATCTGATAACTTGAAAAAATATACATGTAAAAAATATATATGTATGTATGCACAGAGGAACACAAACACACACTATGTGTGTGTGTGTGTGTAATGTGTGTGTTCTTTTTTTTATTTTTTATAAATGGATTTGGCAATTAAGTTGCCTAGTTTTATCATTCTGGGTGAGGTTTGGTTTGTCGTATTTTTTTGTTTGTTATACATGTTCTGACTCAATATGCTTATCCCAAACGCACTGGCGTCCTCCTCTTATCCAGGGTCAGGTCACTGGGACAGCAGCCTCATCAGACTCCCTATCCACCTGCACCTGGATAGTTTTGGTAATGTTTAAATGCACTCTGCTAACTTTATTCAATATGCATGTCCTGGTAAAGATTCTGTCATCCAGGTCATGTTTTTATTTTTTTATTTTTATTTTTATTTTTTCAACTTTTTTGATTTAGAATGCATGGTTATTTCCAGGTAAGACTTCCTTTAACTTACAAGGCAGCAATATTTCAGAACAAAATCTAAAGAGATCCCTATCCATCATCCTTCTAAAAGATTGGCTGGAACTACACATTTTTAGACTGAGATGTCTGATTGTTGTCAATCAGAACCATTCCTTTAGTGTTCCAATGCCCAGGGGCTCTACAGTTCACCTTCCGGGGTCTTTCTAGTCCCCTGCAGCCCATCCAAATTTTAGTGGTAGTGTTGAACTCACACTTACAGAATTGGTTTGTTTGATATTTTTTATATTTATTTTTTCCGTATATAAGATTTGTTAAAGAACTTATGTAGGCTTAGTTAGAGAATTCTGTAAAGTCAGAACTACAACAGGAACCTGACTTAAAAACTATTTTACAACAGACTACCAAGGTAATAATTAGTTTTTAAAAAGCAAAAACATTTATTAAATTAAAAAATACAGTTATATCCAACTGTTGGTGGTTGTATTAAACTCACACGTACTTGTTAATGTTTTTATTATATTAGATCTATTTAAGACCTTATGTGGCCTTAGAGACAAAATTCTGTAAAGTCAGAACTACAAATATGGATCACAGGTATCCTCATATGTTTGTCTATAGAGCCGAAGAACCACAAGGTGGTGATAATGCTCCCGAACGTTAACTACACTGTGACAAAATGGAAACAGAAGAAGAAAAGAGGAGCCATCGGGCCCGCTTCAGCTAACAGGCTAAAATTTCCCGTCGGATTTCTGCTGGGTTTATCCTTTTATAGTCCCCGTATTCTTTTATATACGAGAGGTTACGGTAAGTAATGGCAAACCTAAGATCTGTAGTTGGATTTTTATATAGTGATGTGACTTTCTGACATTCTAATTAAACCCCAGAACGATCCGATCTACCAGGTGTAACGTCAGCTAGCACAGGCTAAAGTCAGCCGTTCCGACTACAATACGCTCACAAAGAGAGCAAGTCATTTCCCAAATACGATATCTAAAGCAGTTCAAATTGTTCTACATTTGCTCTTCCCAAAGATTACACTAACAACCGTCTGTGCCTTCTTGTAGGATATGTTAATACCATCTTAAATAATGAATTGTTGCATGTTTTAGCATGGTACAATGTGTATATGTTCGGGCTAGCTACAGTAGTGCCGATTTCGCCTTTCTTTAAAACATCAACGGAAAATAAAACTATTTTTTATTTTTATAACTAAAGACAACCCATATCAATCGTGTCTATGGTGTACATATGAGAGGGAATTGATGTTTCCGTCGTTTGAATGTTTTTCCATATAGAAACTCAATGAATTTGTATATTTGAAAACCTGGGGGTGGCACATTATAGCTCTGCTTTGCTTGAAACCTTTTTATTTTTAGATTAGGAAACACTTAGACACATCAAACCCTGCTTAAATAAACCCAGAGCAAAAACTGATTGCTTAAAAATTCTCTGTTCTGGGTATTTAAATCATTGACTGACAGCATTTAATTAAAATAATCAGTTCCAAAGGAGGAAAAGTGATAGTACAGGCAAGACATATTATTACAACCGAGACAATAATTTGATGATAAAAAAAGAAAGCAAGAATTGTTTGGTGAATGGTACTATGATACATTTTATAATATGTTCTCCCTGAGATCAATGATGTGCCTTATGGTAGTGATGCATGATAGTTGGCATGTATTTTATAAGCCTGAGATGATAACATTTTTCTATTATAGGATGAAATAATCTTAGTTACACTTTCATTTTTCGCAGATGATTTAACGAAATGCCACCTTTTTTGTAGAGATCATTTTAGCTGCTTTGTATTTTTGGAGGGGTGCCAGGAATCGATTGAGACTACTTCCAGCCTCTCAATTCTCCTGGAATCGTTCAGATTTAATAATTTTTTTAGTTTTTACAGCAGTAGTGACTGGTTTTTTTTCAACTGTAGCCTGACAGGAAAGGGAGTATGAGAGACAGGGAGAGACAGTTGGGAAAGGACGACAGGCAGGATTCAAACCCGGGTCGAGGACTAGGCCTGGTTATACTCCCGCAGCAGTGTGCCGCAGTGAGCTTGACGCAGACATTTTTGATTTATTATAAATTTTTAGCGTGGTCCGCGCTATACGCTGTGGTTGTAGATACGGCCGAGGCGGTGAGGAAGTGGGGGCGAGTTTGTCCGACAACAGAGCAATAATAAGGGCCAAAAAGAGTGGGGATCCAGGTGGGAAAAGGGTACCAGCGTTCTCGTACACCTCGCTCTTCTAGCTGGTTTAACTTCACGAGTTGTTTTCCGCAAATGCTGTCATAAAAACATAACAAGCCGGCCTCCTGTCTGCAGTCACCTACAATTTGGGAGAGGTGCAGCAGAGTGTCTGCGGAGGGGGCGGGGACATCTTTTTGTTCACTGCGACACCTACGCAGACAACTTCGTTTCAACGTATAAATCAGCCTTAAGGCCTTTTGAAGATACTTTCTCACATTTACTTCATGTTTTAGTAGATAATTTCCCTCTTTACGGGCAGTTTCTTGAAGCACTTTCATCAACAGCTGCCGGACTGAATAACTTTAAGCATAACTGTACTCATTGTTTACTTTCATTTTGGATCTATTTATTATGATTAAATCAATTAATTGAAGCAAACAATACAAAATGTTCTTATTCCTGACATTTAGGTGCAGTAAACCTCACTTGGAATATATTTCCCTGAATTGGAATGTATGTGCTAGTTCAGATGCTCAGCCTTGCATTGTACCACAGCCAGAATCAGGCCAGTAATATAACAGAAGTCTGTGGCTGTACAAGTACGTGCGGCATGTGTAGATGTGTTTTAATAGGGCCTTTTAACAATAAAGCTGTGTGTGACAATTTAATCATGCGGGGAAAAAATAGATTTAACAAGATAGATTGCGCTTTGTAGGGTTGATATTACTACTTTAGGTTTAAAAGTAACCTTATGCTAATTTACTGTTAAGTTAAAAAATTATATATTCATATAATTAAAATTAACCAAGAAGCTCAGACTTTTTTATCTATAGAGAACACTGATTAGCCAGATCATTTGTAACATGTAAACTTCTATACCCCTTCTCTTAAAAGAATCCAAATACAAAATAATTATCAGAATCAGCACTAGAATCCATCATTTTAAATGGTGCCCCACCTTATTTGAAGAAGGTAAAGGTGTAATGCCTGGTTCAGACTTCAAGATCATTTTCTAGTTTTTTGCCCTTATCTCTACCTTCCCAGATGCTGTGATTATTGGAGTAGCTTTAAAGATAATATTCTTCCATAGTCCTGATGTGTTTTGTTTGGTATGTGTTCGGGTCGGCTTAAAAGGACATCTGCACTGCTCCGATTGCCAAATGAAGAAATCCAGTTAATGGTAGCAGAAACCAAAACATTATCAACTTTCTTTTACTGGACTTTTTATGTTGCTATATAACAGGTTGTTATCCTTTCAAATTAAAAAAAATTATTTGATTCCAGTTCCCCAGACTTGAAAGAGTTTCTTTACGATCTTAAATTGATGCATCACCTGCTACAAAATATTGATGCTATTATTTTATCAACATTCAGCAGCAACTTAATTTTAAGGGAATTAATATTGGCCTTTTAGGCGGTGGAAAATGCATTTCATAAAAATCTGTCTTTGGTTGTGAGAATTAGGGATGAGACAATTTATCAGTTTATCATGATTAATCGAATAATTGAAATAATTGTCTTCTAATTTAATAATTAATTAATCTAGAACTAGAATTTAGAGACTCTAAAATGTGCCTTTAGCTGGCAGAGCAACCCACTTAGAACTGTAATTACCGTATTTTCACGACTATAAGGCGCACTTAAACGTCTTTTTTTTTCCTCAAAATGTGCGGTGCGCCCTTTGGTGCGGTGCGCCTTATGTGTGTTGTAACTGCGACTTTTGAGACCACCTCATTGAGGAGATGATGAAAGAGATGCTGAATGTAAGGAGACCAGGTGTTTTTTTTCCACTCATCACCATCGCTGTTACCGTATTTTCACGACCATAAGGCGCACCGTACTAAAAGGCGCACTCTCAGTTATGTGTGCCATTTCTGTATTTAACACACACATAAGGCGAACCGGACTATAGGGCGCGTTTTTTATATACAGGTACATGTCCTCTACTACCTTTAAATACCTCTACTGCGTATTTAAAAATACAGCGGGGGCAAAACTGAGTATGATTGTGCTTTATTCATGTATTTATTACAAAGTATTAATCAAACCTGGAAGCTGGCCGTGAGACAGACACATCGCAGATGACACAGCGCTGTGATCGCTCCTAAATTAACTTAAAATCCTGAAACCTGCCGACGGAATTTGTTTGCTTTTATTACCGGTATCCTGGTGCCTGCAGTTTAAATTATTTAGATGAAAAACACCTGCCAGCAGCCGCGGTGAGGCTGCTGTTGAAGGGATTTCTGCTGTCGGTGCACCGCTGGTATGTGGGGGTCTGAGCGCCTCCGACAGAAATAGATCATCTGGATGAACTGACTGCAAGTATTAAGTTTTCAGGTGGCCTTTCTCACTTAAAAACATATTAAAACTACTTTATTCCCACTGATCACAGCAAATATAGCTGCAAGATTTAGATTATTTAGATGAAAAAACACCTGCCAGCCGCCGCGGTGAAGAGGAGGAGACCCGGCCCAGAGGCTGCTGTTGAATTAAGTTTTCAGGTAGAAAAATAGAGCGGGAGCAAAACTGAGTATGTTTGTGCTTTATTCATGTATTTATTACAAAGTATTAATCAAACCCATCAAAGTCATCATCCTCTGTTTCTGAATTAAACAGCTGCGCTAAATAAGACATGCCAATTTCCCCTTCTTCGCTGTCAGAGCCACTTTCCGTGCAGCGCGGCTCCTCAGAAATAATGCCGGCTTTTGCGATAGCTTGAACAACAGAGCCAGCAGACACTAGTCCAAGCATCAACAATCCATCCGCAAACGGTGGCGTAACTTGCCCGGCGCTGCCTTCCACTTATCCTGAAACTGTGGTCTCCGTCTGTCATCCATCGCTCCCACGCCGCTCGCAGCCTTACTTTGAACGGCCGCTTCACACTGATGTCGAGCGGTTGAAATTCCTTTGTCAGACCCCCGGGATAACGGCGAGCACAGCGTTCATTTGATTCACCTTTTTTTTTCACATCGGCTGTGAGATGGGCACGAAGCAATGGTGATGCGTGGAAAAAAGCACCTGGTCTCCTCACATACACCTGCCTTTCATCATCTCCTCATCCATCCAGCCTTTTTCATTTGCGTTAATGTCATCAGAGCGCTGTGTCTGTCTCGCTGTCAGCTCCCAGATCAGCTTCTCTGATTGGTTGATGCGGCGCCTCCAGCAGCAAAACTTCAATTTTTCCATCTCGAGCAGCAGCAGCGCGTTGGCGGTGCGTCAGATGCTTAAACGCTCCTGCTGCTCAAAACGCGCTGCGGGGCCTTTTGCTGCGCCTATACGCGCGTCAACCATTGACTTTGCATGTAAACTCGCTGCTTCTCCTGCACCTGCTGGGTCCGGTTCACACCGATGTGGAGCGGTTGAACAGCGAGCACAGCGTTAATTTGTTTCCCCATGTTTTTCACATCAGCTGTGAGATGGGCACGCATGGAGTTACATATTAACAGCGATGGTGATGAGTGGAAAAAAAACACCTGGTCTCCTTACATTCAGCCACTCTTTCATCATCTCCTCAATGAGGTGGTCTCAAAAGACGCAGTTACAACACACATAAGGCGCACCGCACCAAAGGGCGCACCGCACATTTTGAGGGGAAAAAAAGACGTTTAAGTGC